TATTATTATTATTATTATTATTATTATTATTATTATTATTATTATTATTATTATTATTATTATTATTATTATTATTATTATTATTATTATTATTAGATAGCTCTCTTTAAATAGACTTTATAGAAATAAAATAAACTTATAGAAGAATAAAGATATATCTAATTACTTATTATATCTACTTTTTAAAGCTCTTATATACTTAGAATATATATATAAATATAGAAACAGTATTATATGGAAAGATGGGGGAGAGAACACGCGTGCACTAGTGCCAGCGACTTAGGTTCTAGGAAAACGACGGATGGTTCAGTCGATCGTTCCCCCGGTATAGACCACCCATCTGCATACCCAACGTATACCGTGCCGGGCATTTGAGACTACGTTCTACCGCTTACGTCGACTGCACCGAACGAAGGCTTGCTATATACCTCTCCACCATCATCATCCCGTGGGCATAAACTTACCAGCGCTTTATACTGGAGCGTGTTCTTGAGTCGCAATCCCAACGTGTCCCCGCATTTACCCTCTACACAACCTTGATCGTTCACCACCTATATCATGACTTGTACGTAGCCACCATCATTGTGCTCTTTGAAGCCATGCCTATTGACTGACTCAATACTCGCAGTACCTCCAGAAGCCCAAGCGTCCTATGCGACCATCATTGACAGCATCCTCAAAGGCGCTGATCTGAATACCATCTCTGCCAAGCGAATTCGGAAAGGGCTCCAGGCTCAGCTCGAATATGACATAAGCGACCAGAAGGTAGAGCAATGCGCCTGGGCATGCCTATAATTTGGTGACTGATTTTCTATCATAGGAAGCGATCAATGCCTTAATATACGCGCGGTTCGATAAACAAAACGAGCGCAACGAAGCCACAGCCGCCCCGAGCATCGAGGTGCCACCGCCCCCTACGAAGGCCGCTACGAATTGCATCAAGACTGAAAATAAGATTAAGAAGGAACCTACTCCTCTGCCTAAGAAGCGCTCGGAACCTCATGACTGCGACGAACAAGACCCGACGCCATCAACGGAGCAGTCACCTCCACCGAAGAAGAAGATTAAGAGGATATCTCAGTCTCAGGAAGAAGACGATGCAGCATACGCGGCACGCCTGCAGGCAGAGCTAAATCGGGTCCAAGGTCGCTCCACTAGAAGAAGGAATGATCGCAAGAAGCCGAAACCGGTTGCAAAAAAGGCCAAGAAAAAGAGTGCCACCAAAGTGAACAGCGACGACGACAGTGATGTGGCTTCAGGCGATAAAAAGCCGGTAAAACGTACAGGAGGCTTCCATGTTAGTGACACGCATAGAAATGGTTACTTATAACAAAGCAATACTAACAGCCCAGCAGAAGCCTCTTAACCTCTCCCAACCTCTCTCTGAGCTTTTGGGCGAAACTCAGCTCTCACGTCCACAGGTTGTGAAGCAGATATGGGCATATGTCCGCGAGCGTGAACTACAAGATCCTAGTGATAAGCGCCAGATACGCTGTGATAACCGTATGCACGCTGTCTTCAAGACCGAGCGAGTGCAAATGTGCACTATGAACAAGATTCTCAGCCGACATTTGTACGCTGTTGACGAGTGAACGCATGAATATCTCCTTATCCTGAAACACTTGCGACTGACGAGGATGTTACTTCTTCACGATTTACGAGTCATCTTTCCTCTGACCCTTTCGAGATTCATTATACGGCGGTCTGGACGGTGCCGCCCTGCTACTCTCAGAGCATCCTTGAAGACCAAGGTTTCGATGTGATCCTTGCGTCTTCCCTCTAAACACCGTCCTGGATCCTCCCACCGGCTTCTCTCTCGTATCTTAGCTGGCATTGGCGTTTGTAATCTGGTCTATGGGTCTGCTTTCACCCGACTGTTGATTTATGAATGCTCTATCATCACTCCTCTAAGGACCCTCTTCGTATTAGACATCTATATATAAGGGCAGGACACGGACTCTCTGGTTATAGGGCAGGACACGGACTTTCTGGACATAGGGCAGGGCTATAGGAGCTGTATGTAGTCTTTACCAGGCGAGTTATGTCGAATCGATATTTCACCAAACAATACCATACCATACAAGCACAATAGTCTTTAAGAAATCATTCGTGACACTTCCTTTCATACGACTATTAGTTCCGCTAACTTGTTAGTCGACTGGCTTGTGTACACCTTTAGGTACATCACACTACGCCCAATAATTTAATGAAGCATCATGCGAAGGGTAATTCGGCGTAGTGAGCAGCAGTGAGAGGTATGCTAGAAATGCTTAACCTAGCGCGTTCAAGGTCTTGACAGGAGCTAAAAGTCGGCGACTTCGATGTGAAATTCTTCGAAATCATCATTGCCAAGTAGTAGGCTGTCAGGAAAATGTCCACGCATGCATTCCTCAAGATCCTCGCCGTTCTCTGTGCATCCCAGTGCTTTGTTGTCCATATTCTCCAGCCACTTAGTCTCCTCTGCGTATGTGAAGGGTTTAAACCGCTCTTTTTGTTCGGCGTTAGAATTCTCGTTGGTATAGTTGCTACCGTGATGTCTAACGGGTGCGATAGTGGTCTGCGATGAGGAATGAGCATGTGCGAACTTGTTTGTTGAGGAGGCTGATCCAGCTTTGCTCCGTAGTTGAGTTTGGGTACTTGATATACGAATATCTGATGCTACGGCACGACCTGAGGAATATCCCATCGTGTTTCTAGACGCAGCCGTAGCTAGGTTATGAATTGTCGCTTGCTTGATGGCCGAGAGAGCAGGCTTCCTTGTCGCTGATTCACGGGCTGTGGTCGAGACGGAATAGAGCACGCCGGGCTTAGTCTTCTGCTGCGAGAGAGCTGATGCTGCAATCCTCGCAGCAATGGCAGTGGCAGACGGTGGTTTGGTTGACGCGCGTGTCTGCTCGTTCTTCGGTGCAACCTTAGTTTTTTTAGCATTCGTCGACGTGTTCCCTTTGATAGTCGACGATCCGGGCTGAATGCCCATCTCTAGGCGAAGTTCGTTTACGATTTCGTCGACTTCGGCGAAAGTGTCTTCGCAGCCCCTAGCAATAATTTCACCTGCTTTCCCAGCATATTCGGCTGCTTCTATTTCTCCGTCGTGCCACGCCTTCGGGTAACCATTCTCGTCTACTGCGTTGAAGTAATGCGAATACATCCCGCGGGTCGGATAGTCGCACTTCAACATGTCTAGGTTAAGATCAGGCGAGAAGTTCTCGCGTAAGTCGGGAAGAGCTGCTCATGTCAGTAATTGGCTTCTCACGTTACATGATATCTTACGTTTCTCTTTGGGGGGCATATATTCACTCTCATCATCATCATCATCATCATTGTCGTCGTCGTCTTCTCCAACAAGCAAAGATTCTTCTTCAGAGTGTAGAACCTTGACTTTGGATCTGCGGAGTCTTTGAGACTTGCTCTTCTGCTGTGTCTTGTTGGTGGCCTTTGGGTCGATGGTGAGAGGGGCAGGTGTCTGGAATGCCTGTGCCTTCGCATTGGTAGTTTTCATACCCAAGGGAGCTCTATTACGTGGGCCTGATTTTACCGGTTAGCAATAGATACCACCATGCTACTCTTTATGGCTTATACCAGCTGGGGTAACGAATGCGTCTTTCCCAAGCAGTCCTCCCTTCTTGCTCGTGAAAAGTAAATTCTCGTTTCCTCTGCCATTTGTCCTCAATGCAGACTTGCCATCCTTTCGAATGACATTCTCATCATAAAATGGTACTTTGAAAGGCGTTTTGGGAGCTTTGATTTTTGGGGTTCCTGCTCGAAGACCCTTCACGCTTTGGTCAAGTGACTTTGCAGCAGCCGCTGCCTGGTAGTCATGAATGCGGTTCTCTTGGTTGTGGTGTGTCGAGAGCATGTCGTATAATGTTTCACATTGATAGCCGATGAGGCGGTGGATCAAACTGGGATCACACGGTAGGTATAGCAGGTGTATATGTACTTCTAACGAGTGATGTTGGGCTTTGTTTACCTTTAGCGCTATTGGGATAACCTAGGTACGGTTGCTAGGCAGCTGCAATTGGCAGACCCGGATTACTCTGAGAGAGCTGGTAAGTCCATGCGTGTATGGTGTGGTATTGGCGTGACTCATCACGCACCAACTTTCGACTGGAGGGGATAAGGGTGTCAGCAAGCTAGGGACAGCCGCTCCGCCCCTGGCTGCTTCCGCCGCGCTGTCCATGCCTTAACACCCGCTACTACCGACTCTCCACGCCTGCTTCTTATTCTTCTACATTTCACCTCCAGCACACCCTCAGCACACCATATCCTAATACCAGTGCTTCAGTCTCCTACCAGAAATACTTTATACCAAGCCTAACAATCACATAAAAAGCTAACAATATGGATGGGATTCGACAGGTCAGTCTCTACCTACGTACCCCGCTGCAGTATCCTCCTAGACTAGTGACCACAAACATTTCTTTCCTGTGGATGTATTAGAAAGAACCCAACAAAACAGTTACTAATATCATGTTTGAGCGCAGAAAATGGCTCAACTCCGGACGGAGGCGGATGAGTCTGCCAGTCAGGTCGAAGAGCTCAAGCTGAAAGTCAAGCATCTGGAACAGGAGAATCTCTCCAAGGAACAAGAAATTACATCCCTCCAGCACAGAAACCAGACTCTTGAGGCCGAAGTTGAGAAGTTGGAAGGCGGCATCAAGGACCACAAAGAAATTGCCTCGAAGAGTGCTCAGGCAGACAATCAAGCCGAGAGTCTGACAAGGAAAGTGCAGCTACTTGAGGAGGAAGCCGAGGAGTCAGACAAAAACTTGAGAGAATTGAACGAGAAGTAAGCTTCTGCTGTGTTTCGGTCTATGTGACACGGCTCTCCCTAAGAGCCCGTTGCTGACATGTTGACAATGCAGGCTCCGCCAAACTGACGTCAAGTCAGGCCACTTTGAACGAAAGGTGCAAGCTCTGGAGCAAGAGCGAGATCAGTGGGAGGCCAAGTTTGAGGAGATGTCTAAGAAATACAACGACACCAAGAAGGAGCTCAACGACTTCCTTGCCGAGATTGGTACCATCTAAGGCCCTCGACCGCAAGCGCGTGAGTCGTAGTGAGCACGGAAGGGTGAACGTTGGCTTTTCGCATTGTATGCTACCATCCCTGGGAGGCTCCGGGTAGGCTGTTGTCGAGCTGAGCATCTTGATGGCAGCGTGTCCTTTTGGGTGGAGAAGGGAGGAATTCCATCGTACTTTACCCCACATCAACATAAAAATTCACATAATATTGACTTGACACGAGTTTCAGGAAGTCTTGTGCTTTTAGCTTCTCCGTGCCTTCGCCTGTGATCGGCTCTTTGATCTCTCCTTGTGCCTCGTTATCTTGCGCTCCGCTTTGCTCTCATATCGAAACTTAGGCTTGGCTTTCTTTGCCTTCTCCTTTGTAGGCTTGTCTTTGGTCCATACTCGCTTCTTCAAATCCTCCCCGACCTCGTGTTTGGCTGTAGTAGATATTCTATCGTCGTGTTGATCTCCAGGCTCGATGTCCACGTTAAACATGCCATCCCTCGTGATATTCACAGCCTCGACCTGGACTGTGATGTATTTGTCTTCATCAATGTACTCGTCTTCACGGGACATAGGTACATCGTCTCCAAAGCCATTCCAATCTCGATCCTCATTCTGGCTGTCTCCCGATTCATACTCATCTGATGGATCGCCATTCACTTTCCTGAGTGCTGTGTTGACCTCGTCAACATGTTTCTCCAAGTCTTCCTTTCTTTGTTTCCGGAGCTGTGGTACAGACGTCGTCAGCGTGACCATTCCTAATGCAAAATAGGACATACCTTTGCTCTCTCAGCGATTTTCTCCAGTCGCTCTTTCTCAATAGCAAGTTCCTGGGCATGCTTTATCCTCGCCTGTTTGCGTTTGTGGAATCCGGTGAGATAATCTTCGCGGGCAGCGAAGTCAAAAGACACCTCGTCAACTGATCTGAAATGAAGCTTCTTATGCCGCTTCGGTACAGGACCCATGACGATCTATGGTGTTATTAGTAAAGCGAATAGTTCATCTAAACGATAATCTAAGTAAAAGGCGCCTAGCAGTCTCTAATTAGAGCCGAAAGATAGTTAATACCGAGATTAGTCCGAATAGAATGATTACTTATATGAAATGTACTATATTATTTTAGTATATATCTTATAATAAAAATATATACTATTATAAGAAGATTTTATATATATATATATAGAATTAATAAAAGAAGTACTAGACTTAGAATAATAATCTTAATACCTTTATTAATAAATTATACTAAGTATACTTATTACTAATATATATATATAAACTATTAACTATATAATATTACTAATATATAAAGATACTATATATATACTTAAACTCTACTTAGAGATAAGAGTATAGACTATCTATCTATAAATACTAATATATAAGCTCTATATTTATTAGTTAAGAATATTTCTTAAATAATAACTATAGTAGTCTAGATACTAATATACTCTAGTTTCTACTTATTAGAAATTTAATAAAGACTAGACTAGATCTATCTATTAAGAGTAAACCCTAGATATACTTTATACTAGTATACTTATATCTATACTATTCTTATTCTACTAAGTAAGACTAAGTAGTTCTCTTTTTAATAATATATACTCTACTCTATATCTTAAGAGAGCTAAGTAGATTTCTACTTTCTCTTTTATTAAACTTACTTAGTAGATTCTATTAATACTCTTATATCTATATATATATTATATTTCTATAATATTAAGTTTAATCTTATTTTACTCTCTAGAAGTTCTACTATAGACTCTAGAAATAATATATAGAGTAATATTAGTAGTAAACTAGACTAAGTTCTATATCTAAATATTACTCTATAAGAAGCTAAATAAGCTCTCTATAATCTAATATAATAGTAACTAGTACTCAAGTAGAAGATTTCTATCTTAGAAAACTAAGTAGAAAATCTATAAAATCTATTAGACTCTATAACTAATAATCTACTAAGATCTTTTATTATAGTAATCTTCTCTCTCTTATAGACTAACTAAGAACTCTTAGAATCTAGAGACTAGAAGCTATCTATCTAGAATAGTAAAGTAGCTATCTTCTAAGACTTTCTTCTTTAGTTATATAGCTTCTATAAGATATAATTAGTATTAAAACTAAAGCTATCTCTAGAATACTACTAGAATACTATATATAATACTCTTATTATAGCTATAGTAGTAGTATATATTATATATAATTAATATAGATAGTAGTAAACTAGTTAGCTATATAAATAGAACTAACTAGATATATAGATAGCGACTAGTTTATATACTTTAAATACTAAGTTCTCTTTACTAGACTATCTTAGTTAATATAATAATATTAGAATAATTATAAGTTTATATAATCTTCTCTCTACTATACTATCTATACTAACTATTTTATATTAGACTAGTAAAATATCCTTCTTCTAGTATAAGATATAAGTAGAATAGACTTATTATATTACTAAAAACTTAGCTCTCTAGAGCTTAAGAATACTCTATTTACTAGTTATAAGATTATATATAGAATAAATAAGATATCTATAACTCTATTACTTCTATAAACTACTATTTAACTAAAAACTTTTTCTCTTAGTTAATACTAGATACTAGTAATCTAATACCTTCTATTACTATTTCTAACTATCTATAATAATAGCTTATATTACTACTAGAGAACTTAGTTCTTCTAGAGTATTAACTATTTAGTTATAGATAAGTTAATTAATAGATATTTAGAAATCTACTATTACTTAAGATAATACTTAATTATCTTATTACTAACTATCTACTACTCTCTATACTAGAATATTCTTTATAAAGTAGAAGACTAACTATTAAGAATTTTCTACTATAGTAGTTAATAAATTATCTAGTATTATAAGAGATATATAACTTATTTCTAAATAATCTATTAATTTAAGCTTAGTATCTATTAACTACTAGACTCTCTAGAGTATTCTTAAGCTTATTAGACTTAGTTAATTATATAGTAAGCTCTAGTATAGAAGCTACTATATCTAACTATTCTAAATATACTAGTACTTTAGTAGAATATACTATACTATATTAGATAGATATAGATACTAGTAATAGTAGTATACTAGCTAGAGCTCTAATAACTAATAATAGAGACTTATAGTAAGATAGTAAGCTATAATTATATCTATAATCTAGTAGACTCTTACTTAGTAGGTAGGTATTTTATAAGATAATAACTAAAACCTAATAGATAGTAGTAAAAATCTACTATTTAATAATAATAAAGATAGTTAAGAGTTTAGAATATAAGAAATTAGATTCTTCTAGTCTAACTTAGATTATAGCTTTAGAGATAGAGATATTACTTTTACTAGTTAGACTATATATATATATATATATATATATAATATATATCTTCTTTAACTAGATTAAAGACGCTACTATAGCTAGAGAAACTAAGACTATTAAGTTAAAAATCTTCTAGTATCTATAAGAATATATCCTTAAGTAGTTTATATTAGAATTATCTAATCTTATAAAGAAAGTACTCTATTACTTATCTAGTTTAGATACCTAGACTATAGTCTTAATTAAGTAGTTTAAGTAGCTATTATCTAATACTCTATTATCTCTTATAATATAAAGATATACTCTTTAAGAGATCTACTTCTAAACTAATATTACTTTATATATATATATTATAGCTTATAACTATAGTACTATATAACTATTAGACCCTTCTAGCTAAAATACTTAGATATTTATATAGAATAGTATTAATATTCTTCTTTACTAGGGTCTATCTCTACTAATAGAATCTATATCTCTAGTCTAGTTTATATAAACTCTATAAGTAAAATATAAAGAATAGTACTAACTTATCTACTATTATCTTAGTAGTATATAGTATAGTACTTCTAGTTAATTTACTTAATAAGAAAGAGAAGATAGTTAATATAATAGCTCTTATTACTATAACTTACCTTAACTATTTAATAACTCTTAAGACTAGAGCTAATCTAATAGCTATTATTTTATAGCTAATTAGTCTAATTAATATCCTAACTTATACTAGTCTTACTCTTCTTAGTAGTTCTAATAGAGACTAGAAGGTTTAGAGAATAGTAGTTAAAAGATATTAGCTAATATATATTAGCTACTAGCTATAATAGATAGTTCTATAGATTATCTAACCGGTCCTAGACTAACTAATAAGCCCTATACTAGCTAGTCTCGGTCTCTTAGTAATAATAGATAATTTACTTAAGTACTATAACTATTCTACTAGGCGTGTAATATCTAGAAAGAATTATATAATCTAGATATTAAAGCTACTTACTATATAGAGATTAAAGAAGCTTTCTTCTATCTTAGACTAACTAATATAGATACTATAGAACTAGTATAGTTTAGTAATAAAATAGATCTTACTAGTCTTAACCTACTATCTAGTAATATTAATAAGAGTCTATCTTTATAATTTATAGTATACTAAGTAACTAATATATATCTAGTATACTAGATCTAGTATAATATTTATAATAAGATATTTCTATTATAAAGAAAGCTATTTAAGTACCTTAAGAATAGAAAGTACCTTAAGATAGCTATAAAGACTAAAGTTTCTCTATATAGTTATATAGTTCTAAAGTTAAATATTATATATTATAATATTTAAGAGAATATAGTACTATTATTAGTTAATAGTCTACTAGATACTAGCTAAGTATATAAAGAATTATACTATATCTAAGTTAAGGCCTTACTTAGTCTTAATAGTCTAGTTAAATATATCTATCTAGATATAGAGAGTATAGTAATACTAATTAACTAAGCTTTTCTTAAGTAATAGAACCCTACTATCTAAGTACTTATTTATCTAGCTATTTCTATTTAGAGAGTAGAGGGAGTTAAGTCTATAAAGCTAACTAAATTTATAATTATTATACTATTTCTTCTAGACTAAACGTCTAATAGTTTAACTACTATAACTACTAAAGTATTATATAAGATATATATTCTTAACTATCTATAAGTAGATCTTCTTCTTAGAATAGATATTATAGTATCTTAGAAGATAGATATCTATATAAGTATATATATAATAACTATTAGTAAATATAGTGGGATTACTATACTAATCTTTACTACTACTATTTAACTAGTAGTATACTAGAGAGTAACCATTTTATAGTATACTATTCTCTAGCTATAAATACTTATACTAGTTCTAATTATAATCTATTACTAGTATAAGTTAGCTATAGAAGATTATATATTCCTATAGAATCTTATAAAAAGATATAAGTTCCCGCTAGCGTCCTTACTAAAACCACGACTAAAAAACTACCTTTTCCCTTATAATAAATTAACCACGCCCTTAATTAAAGATCTATTCCGATAAATCATGCTCCTAGCTACGCTAAGTAATTCTATATACTTTTTATAACTTATAGACGCGGTATTATAGACGAGTTCTAGTTATAAGCCTCTAGTATCATGTTTAGTAGTAGCTTGAAAATTTGTACGTCTTAGCCGTGGATTTTCCAGCGTACCTTAGTGCCTTAGTACCTTAAATTGAGACTATACGTAGTCTACCAGCCGTAGGCCACCCTAGTTTACTCTAATATATATAAGTATAAGACTTAGTTAAGATAGAGATATCTATATATATCTTACTAACTAAAATATAGTATATATATTTATTATAAATTATAGATTTAGATTAGTATATATAAATAAGAATATAAGACTTAGTATATTAATAGATAAAATAGATACTCTCTATATATTTTAGACTAAAGTAGTTTCTTTAGATATTATAGAGAGATTATCCATAAAGCTTACTTAGCTTAATAAAGTTAAATAGATAGATATATTTTATATAAAAATTTATACTAAAGATAAAGTAACTATCTAAAGGTTTAATAATATTATTTAAAGTTATACTAGCTTATTTTATAATACTAGACTTATAAATATTCTAGAGA